CTGCGGAGGAAGACGCGATGTTGTTAACGTAAGAATAAACAAGCCGGAATTTAGTTTGTATGTTTTATGAGTAATCCTCTAAATGTATTGGTGTTTAGTGATTTTTTAAGATATTCAGGTAACAGTTTTAGCAAAATGGCATCAATTAACACACCTTCGTTAGTATCTGAACTCGGTTAGTATGTTCAGTATCTATGAGTTTATATATATATATATATATATATATATATATATATATATATATATATATATATATATATATATATATATACATATATACATACACGTGCATAGGTGCACGAGTATGTATAAAAACGAACAGACCATTTACAAATCTTTAGTGGAATATATCTACAAAATGTCAGATATGCAGATGACGCAGTACTTCCAGTAAAAAACAAAGGCAATTTAGAACAACTTTTGAGAAAACTGAAAGAAGAAAACGAAAAAAGAGGGGTCAGCATCAACAAGAAAACAAAATCCAAAGTATTCACTGAAATCAAAGCACGGAGAACCACAGCAAAAATATATTTAAAAAAAAATATCAAACGAAAAATCACGAGAAACAAAAACTAAATTAAGAAATGCACGCTAATACGAATATAGGACATTAAGAACGCACGTTATAAATCGCTTAGAAGCACTGGGGATTTTCCGTGGAGAGATAAATACTATTTACGGACAAATTAACGAACAACAAAGCATTGGATCTGGAGACAGGAGAAGCCCCGCTAAAGAACACTGAGGTTCCTGGGACACATCCTGAGAGGAGAGACAGTTCGACCGAAAAACTATGACTTGAAGTGAGGGAGGCGGAGCAGGGAGGAGAGGGAAGACAAAAGGCAGAAATTCCTACAAAGTCTAACGTCGAGGACAGGAGTCAGAGCTGTGCAGTTGCTGCCGTCGGCGTGGGACAGAGAGGGTTTCAAAGACATGGTCGTCAACGTTAGACTCTGATACAGAACTTACAGATGTCAGTGTTAATGTGTGTGTGTGTGTGTGTGTGTGTGTGTGTGTGTGTGTGTGTGTGTGTGTGTGTGTGTGTGTGTGTGTGTGTGTGTGTGTGTGTGTGTGTGTGTGTGTGTCCAATCGATTGCAATGCTTTTATTTCTTGCTTCTTCCTCTTCTGCAATTTTATCTTTACCCTTCTTTTAAACTTGCTTGACAACTGAAACTGACATGAAGTTCGCGTGATATTTTTTCCATGCTTATATTGTCGGCAATTCCTTCCGCCTAAATGGCTTTACATTCTCAATAAAGATTTAACGATATACGAATATGTAAAGATATTATAAAGATTCTAAAAAATTTTCTCACTAATTACTACTCAGTATTTCGGCTTTTGTTTTGTGTATTCCTAATAGGCAATTATACCGCTGGAGTACAAATATAATCACATAAAATAAATATATAAAAATGCGAGGGATTTGTTGTGGTCGCACAACAGAAAAAGGCTGCATTCTGGTAAACTTTTTTCATCAAAAAGTAGATACCATCTAGAATATACCTAACTAATCACTAGCATCTCCAATGCTGGGTAATAAGCATATATAAAATAAATGATTTGGGAGAAAAAAAGGGTAATTGCATTTCTTCCTAGAATCGCCATTCGTCATGTATCAAACATTTGCAGTCACAGGTGTAGTTAAAAAAAAAAAAAAAAAATATATATATATATATATATATATATATATATATATATATATATATATATATATATATATATATCACGATGCGTAATTATCAAGATGTGCAAATTTTTAGCATGAAACAAACCGCACACCAGACAAGTCTATTTGTTTACATATATACACTCATATAAGCTACAGCAGCAAAACCACAACATAGGAACGTGTAAATCAGCGAAAGTAAGCACAGGCAATTAAAAAAGTAAAATCTTGGTTTTATAGCCACGGACCTTTTACTCTGTATGGAAATACATGACTTTCTCTTATAGAGCAAAATTACCCTAAAAAAAAACTGACCTTTTTTGCCAAACGATTGCCATATTATACCTATGAATAAACATTAATTAAATGTCACATGGCAGCAAATGGTTTACACAATCTTACTATACCAGACCGTAGTCGTGGTTAAGTAAAATAAAAGTCTTTGTTGTTCGTGTTAATCTTCGTAATGATCGTTATATATGATAAAAATGCTAGCAGACTTTATTATAATTACACACACACACACACACACACACACACACACACACACACACACACACACACATATATATATATATATATATATATATATATATATATATATATATATATATATCATGGGGTAGCAGGGGCATTCTGCCCCCAGGGAGTTCTGCGTCCCTGCCCCTAGCTAGCAGTTGGGATCGGGCTGCCAAAAAACCCTCACCAGCAGGCAAACCTAGAAAGGAGAAATGGGGTCGGAGCCATCCCGGAGGAGGTGACTCCAGCACCGATTTGCGGCCGGGGGTTCTTTATCCTCGGCTCGGCGTCCTGACCAGGGGCTTCCCTGATCGGGACGTCGAGCCTGGTATGACGGGTGCAGGGAAAAGCCCTCCCAGGGAATAATGCACCCTGAGGTTACGTGGTGGTGGGATGGCCCCCCCGACCCCCACTCTTCCTCCTTGGGAGGCATGCCTGGTTGTACTGAGGCGTCGCCCGGCAGGAGGCCCACAAATGGAGTCGATCTTCGGCGAGCGTGCCGTGTAGCGGCCTGGAACATCCTCAGTCTCTCGGAGGATAATCGACTGCCTTAGTTGTCGGGGGAGCTGGGGAGGCTGGGGATTGCCATCGCTGCTCTCTCTGAGGTGCGACGGCCTGGTAGTGGTGAGACCAGTAATGGGGATTATACCTACTACTGGTCTGGCTGTAGCAATGGTGCGCGCCTTAGGGGAGTCGCGGTGGCTGTCTCTGACCGCTTCCGTTCCTCATTCAAGAAGGTTACTCCTGTTGACGAGCGCATTTTGCTTGTGAGAATGAAGCACACTTTGGGCTTCATATCTCTAGTGGCAATTTACACTCCTACTGAGGGAAGTGGGCTCGAAGAGAAAGAGATGTTCTACACCAAACTTGACTCTATAGTGGATTAATGTCCTCGGGGGGACACCCTCATGGTCTTGGGGGACTTCAATGCGGTCACTGGCACTGACAGGGAAGGATACGAGCTATGCATCGGTCCCTATGACTCTGGTACTAGGAACATCAATAGCTCATACCTCTTAGACTTCGCAAGATCTAGGAGGCTCGTGGTACGAGAGACGAGATATAGACCACTGGACTTAGTACTCCAGTACTGGCGTTGTTGCTAAAGAGATCGACCATATTCTTGTGGATATTCGCTGGAGGATTTTTAGGAGTGCTGAGTTCTTTGCTACCAACCACAGACTTGTTGCAACACAAAGGCTCCGCCTCAGATCTAGATGCCTCTCGAGATCTCACCAGCAGGTGTTCCATCTCGAGAGGCTCAAGAGGGAGGAGGTGGCTCAGGAGTAGGTAGTGGCGGTCTCAAATCGGTTTGAAGTGCTTGGCACTCTACAGGACCCTGCTGAATTGTGAGATACCTTTAAGCGGGAAACTCTGTCAGCTGCCGAGGAGTGCCTTGGGGTCCGACCTCAGCGAAGGAGGCGTGTTGTCTCGCACGATAAAATGAACACTATAGAGATGAGTCGTGCTGCCAGACTGGATGGGAACCATGTATTGCACAGGGAGTTGTCTCGCTCTGCTAGGGCCTTTCAACTGGGCTCGATGAGGGCAGAGGATGGTCACGACCACCTATTACGAGCACAGAGACCTGAGCAGTCTGGTTTTACAGCCAAGAAGTCAACTGTAGACCGTGTCTTAGCACTTCGTGTCCTTGTGGAACGCCGACTTGAGTTTCAACAAGGTATTCTTGCAGCTTATGTTGATCTCAAGAAGTCTTTCGACTCAATGCACCGTTGGAGTCTCTGAGGCCTACTGGGTCTCCGTGGGATCTCCCCTGGGATTATTGGTTTGCTGTCTGCCCTGTATACGGATACCGAGAGTGCTGTCAAGTGTGGGGAGGGCATCTCTGCCTTTATCCCGGTGTCGGGGCGAGACAGAGATGTGTCCTGGCTCCAACCCTTTCCAATACTTGTATGGACTGGATACTTGGTCGTGCCGTGAACCATAGTTCCTGTGAGACATCAACTGGTAATTTCAAGGTCACAGACATTGACTTTGCCGATGATGCAGTGATTCTAGCAGAGACATTGGAGGTCCTGGAAGTAGTTCTCGAGGCGCTGCATGAGGAGGCTAAGCCGTTGGGACTCTCGGTCCAATCAGACGATACTCCATGAGACTGATTCAAGACCTATTACCAGTCTGCTACGAGAGCGCCAACTTCAGTTCTATGGGCATGTGGCTCGTTTTCCTGAGGAAGATCCGGCTCATAGGGTCATCTCCGAGAGGGTTAACCCAGGCTGTAGAAGACCAAGGGGAAGGCCACGGAACTCTTGGCTGAAGAAAGTCGATCAGAACTGTCAAGATGTGCTGGGGGAGGGAAGGAATGCTGCATGGAGGCTTGCTCGGAGGGACCCCAGGAGATGGATGCAAAGGTTGGGCACGGCAAAGCGCAGCCATGCGTATGCTCCCTTATGATGATGATGATGATATATGTGTGTGTGCGTGTGCGTGTGTGTGTGTGTGTGTGTGTGTGTGTGTGTTGCGTGTGTGTGTATAATATATATATATATATATATATATATATATATATATATATATATATATATATATATATATATGTATATATATATATATATGTGTGTGTGTGTGTGTGTGTGTGTGTGTGTGTGTGTGTGTGTGTGTGTGTGTGTAGTGTATGTATGTATACATACATACATATATGTACATATTCATGTATATGTGTGTGTACGTGTGTGTGCGTGTGTGTGTGTGTGTGTGTGTGTGTGTGTGTGTGTGTGTGTGTGTGTGTGTGTGTGTGTGTGTGTGTGTGTGTGTGTGTGTGTGTGTGGCTGGGCTTAAACCACTGTGTAT